CTAACCTAGGCCGTGCCGAATGCTTTTTTGATACCATTTTCAAAAAGACAAAAAAGAAAAATAAAAATTCACTAAAAGAGTAGACGGTTACCTGAAACTATAAGACATGAAGTAGCTTGATTGAACAGGCGTTCGAGAAAAACGCTGGCGGTAGGGTACGAATGACTCAGAAAAACAAGAGCAAATAATCAGGGGTCCGAGAGATCTCTTTTAAAACAAACTTGCAAAGTGTGATCTAGACTTTCTGGTCAAACCCCATATTTATAGGAAAAAATGGAAGACAAATGGTCACTCCTGAAATTCAAAATTTAGGCGGGAAAACATTCGGCCAGTCACCTGACGACACTTGTCACAGTTCGTCGCCTATAACTGGCCGACACTTGTCACAGGTAACACGTGACAAGTTACGTGCCACCTGTGAGGGGTAAATGATTAGGGGATTTTCCCGCCCAATCAATATACGCCACGTGGACCAATCAGGACCTGACAAGTGTCTCTAAGTTGGACTCATCAGGGCCTGCCACGTGGCTCACAGCCATTTGTCCACCATGGACCAGTCACGTTATGCCACGTGGCTCACTAATAATCTATTTGGACTACGGTCATCAAAAGGCCCAATTTTCGAGAAGCCCAATAAGATCTAGGGTTTGCCAAAAACCCTAGAATCAAGCACGCTTCCCAAGACTATAAATACCGTCATTAATTCTCATTAAAGACAGATTAGTCAGATTACATTGATTATCAAATCTAACCGTGCACCCTTTCCGTCCTTTGTTTTCCCTTGAATATTCATCAGCGTTCCCATAAGAGCATCACACACATTCTTCTCTATATACATCAGTGCCTAACATCATGTTCTTTCCAGTATGGGAGCAACCAAAAGATTGATTCTTTTTTAAAGAGAACAGTTGAGTCCGCCGCTTTTTCTGATTTCCCAAATACTGTTCGTACACCCTTAACTCAAGGAAAAACCTCCTTACTAGTAAATGGCCTAGGCGCAGTCCCCTCTTCCACTGTCCCATCAAAAGCCTTTTTCTGCCTATGGTACAGGTGATCGCGCCTGAGCAACCTTTGGGTCCGCAAGTACACCTCTTTGTGAGAATGATCGAGACGCATGCTTGGCGTATCATCAATACAAATGGGGCATACTTTTTTCCCTTTGTTCTTAAACCCAGACAAGTTGTCATATGTAGGAAAATCATTAACGGTCCACATAAGAGCTGCACGCAATGTGAACCTCTCATTCGTATGAGCATCAAAAACGGAAACAACTTCGTCCCACATCTTTCTCAAATCATCAACAAGTGGCGCAAGATAAACATCTATGTCGTTTCTAGGTTGCCTTGGCCTCGTTATCAAAAGTGAAAGCATTACGTATTTCCGTTTTATGCACAACCAAAGAGCTGAGGCAAATTGTAGATCACTAAAAGTACCGGCCATGTGCTGTGTTGGGTACTAAGAGTGCCAAATGGATTCATCCCGTCCGTGCAAAAGCCAAGCCTTAAATTTCTGACTTCATCACCAAATTCCCCAAACTTCATATCAATGTTCTTCCATTGCAGGGAGTCGGCTAGATGCTTCAACATTCTGTTTTTCTTTCTTCCCTCTGCATGCCACCACAAGTTTTTAGCGTCTTTTGGTGTTGAGAATGGACGCTTAAACCTTGGAATAATGGGAAGATACCACAACACCTTAGCAGGAGGTCCCTTCGTACCAACATTGCAACTCATGCGCTTGTAGCGCGACTTCTTGCATCGTGGACACTCCTCCAATTGTTCATATTCATTTCGATAAAGAATAAATTCATTAGGACATGCATGTATCTTCTTATACTCCAAACCAGATGGACACATGAGCTTCTTTACGTAATAGTAAGACTTAGGAATTTCATTCCCGTCGAGCAACATCTCACTTAATGCGGTCAACGAAGAAGTAAAACTACTGTCCGTCCACCCATGCTTCGACTTAATGTTAAAAAGTGTTAGCAAGGCTGATAGTTTAGAGTAATTTTGCACCCAGGATACAAAGACTTTTTAGAAGCCTCCAATAATGACTCAAACACGTCACCCTCAACACCACGCATCATCTCATCCACCCCTTCATCCTCGACCTCATCCACCTGATCATCCTCAAATCCATCCTCATCACCATTATCAATAATATGTTCATCATTTCTGTATTCCTCGTCCACACGAATGGCATTGCTTCTATCATCATGCACATCATTCCCAAACATCCACAATGTACTCTCCTTCTTCACTATGCCAAATCCACACATGGTATTTAAGCCTAAACCCACGACAAAGTACATGATCTCTAATGATTTCAACACTAGGCGAAAACACGTAATCCGCACTGGTTCAAAACCCCCATTTCGCACCGGTTTTAGACCGGTCCTGATTTGGGGGGTGCTAAAACCCCAGACATTTCGCACCGGTTAAAAACCGGTGCGAAATCAGACTTTTAGCACCGGTTCTGATTAAGAACCGGTGCGAGAAACCACACTTTTTGCACCGATTTTAACTTGGAACCGGTGCCAAAAGTCCCTCCATTTCCATAATATCAATCTTCTCCATCAAAAACAATTCACTCTTTAAATACAAAACACCAATAATTACGATACAAAATAATACAGAACACTTACATAATTATAATACAAAATTCAGCAAAAATCAACCAACATGTTTTCACAGCACAAATTCAACCCAAACAGAAATACAACCAACCAACACAAATAAACCAACCAGTTTAACAACCAACACAACCAATTTTCAAATAACCTCACAAATCAATAGAGGGATTTTTTTCATAGCATACGAAGACAACACGTTGTTTTCAAAAAGTAAAAATTGCATTTTAAACAAAATCCTCTGGCCATTTACAACAACCTCAAACCCAATTTAACAGAGGCAAAAATCCTCATAATCCCATTACTTTCAAAATTATTCCGATTTCGATCGCAAATATGAATTCTATTTCATGAATTGTTGGCGCATCAAGACAACAACAGAACAAAACTCACGACCGGAAGAAACAATGATAAAATAGAACAGAAAACTACCTCGTAATTCGAAGATGTGTGTTTTTTCAACTGGGTCTGTTTACTGGGTTTGGAAGCTGTACAAGTCGATGATGTGTGAAGAACAGAAAACTACCTGCTAATTCAAAGATGTCGGCTTGTTTTTCAACTAGAAACTGGGTATGGAAGTTGTGAACATTTTCCCGCCAAAACGTCAACAAAGTAATGCCATCCCTCCAACAGATTGACAGAAGGGTGTCCCCACTTAGCATTACTCCAGAGTCCAGACACACTCAGCAACTTGACACATAGATGAATCCGACTCAGCAACTCAGGAAGTGAAAAACATTGATTTTATTTTCGAAATGCCATTGTGAGATACGCTTTTGTTTCTCACAATGAGTAACAGAGATTTCGCGCTAATTTTGTATCTATATATGAGCAAATAAGGATTGGTTATAAGCTAGCTGTGAGCTGGTATATACATTCTCTTGATAAGAGGTCTATATTCATTAAGATATTTCATCTAGTCTGATTTGTGTACTTAATTAGAAGTCCTTAATTTTTAAGAGCCCTTTCCCTAAATAATGCTACCAAAATATTTAATTCCACAAATGCTGTCACTTTTTTTTTATAAATTCCTATTTTACCGTCCATGTCACCGATTCAACCTCTTTTTTTTTTGGATTTTTATGAAAACCGCTACTTGAAGTGGCGGTTTACTAAGATAAAATGTTACTTGAAGTAGCGGTTTTTATCTCAGTAAACCGCCACTGTTTTAGGTATTTACAAAATAAAAAATAAAAATAAAAAAACTTATGAACGACCATTGAAGCACCTTTTGTATGTTGAATGCAAATTTCTACTGTTAATCTAACCATTGAAACACCTTTCTCCATTAAAGCAGCTTCTGTGGTAAGTTTTTATTTTTAATCATCGAATATCAACTTCCGTCAAATTCTCCTTCAATGTTCTCCTTGATATTAGAAATTGTATCAACCCCGAGTAAGAACTCAAAACTAATCGATTTGACCTTATCTTTGCCATAAACAATAATCCTCACAGTAATGGAAATCAGTAAACAGTCTGACATTTTCTACTGTAATCTGAATTTCTTATCTCCACTCTCAAATTCCTTCTGTGCTTCTTTAGGCGGCAGTAGTAATCTAGCCACCTGATCGTGCACAGATTATCACAGAGTCAGATTACCAGCACTACTACTTGCAGTTAATGTGTCAATAACATCGACTGCAAGTAATGGGTCCTTCAGAAGGTCCATTGCTGTTGGTCCATCGGGTGCAGGGGCAATACACTTATAAATCAACTGCTGCATCTGAGGGTCAGTTACTCTGAGTTCCCTAATTTGTACTTCCTTAGTCACCATCTGCGTCATGCTAATCCCAAACAAATATATATCACTCAAAATTGCTGGTGTACTCCCTGATTCAAAAATCTTTGCCATTCCTAAGTCTCCTAGTTTAATCGTGCTCATGTTACCTTTAATAAATACGTTAGTACACTTAACATCACGGTGAGTAATAGGCGGATTATGAGTATGAAGATAATGTAACGCGCTTAGAATTTGTCTACACAAATTCTTGATCGCCACATTACCCACAAGATTATGTACATGTTCCCTGCTGTAGTCTGTCAGATTTCCGGAAGACAATACTCAGTAATCATGTTGACGACTTTCTGGCGATCATCAATCCAATAATGGTAGCATTTTGTTATGTTTTCGTGGTCTAATGACTTCAATAGTTCAGCTTCTTTTCCTGGTGGTAATTCCAAGATATTTCAATGATAGTTCAATTATAAAAGTTGTGTACTGTATACGAATTTCCTATTCAACTACTTTATTTAGGCATTGTACGTACAATGTCATCAGTTTGTTCAATTGAGTAGCAATTGAATTATATTAACTAATCAAAGGCAATAATCTTTAATAAAAATTTATGTAGTACCAAAATCAATATCACAGTTAACTGACTAAGCAACAATGTTCTAATTTTATTCAAATCAAACTAGTAAAATCAAATTACAAACAAGAAAGCTGAATCAAGCACCCCCACCCCTCCTACACACCCTGACATGTATGACTAGAAGTCTAGATTCTCAACATTTTTCATACACTTTATTATGTAAACACTAACTACTATTACTACTTCGTAATATACCTTGAATCAAAGACATATTTGTACTACAGAAAATTCAAGAAAAGTCTTAATTTCATACTAAAGAATTGAATTGAATCCAATCGAGCCTCAGGTCTGCTTTGCGAGTTGATGACAGCTTCCTTAAGGACCCCAACCAGCTTGGATTTGGCCTGTAGTCTTGGCTTCCACACCGCCCTCATCATTAGTTGAAAGACACGGGTGCTTCAAGAATTCACTTGCGGCGGGTCTCTCATTTAGAGGCTTAACGCACCTTTCAATGAATTGCCTCAGTTGAAGATCATACAGTAGTTTCATTGCATCAGGGAAAATACAGGACTGAACCTTCTCATTAAAAGGGTGCTTCAAGAGAGCACTCGCCGTTGGTCTCTTAGACACCTTAGCCAGACACTTGATTGCAGTAACATTACTTGGTTCTTTATACACTTTTCCGATTTTCAGGTCCATATGGTAGTCCATTACGAACAATAAAACATTGCCTGTTTTTTTTCTCAAAAATCAGAAGAACCAAAATGGAGAATACGGTTGTCAGGCACCGTCGCCATCGAAACATATGTCTGGTCGACATGTTGTTTGGATCGCACTTCTACGACATTGTTACAAAAATACTCGGGTTGTTTTATGGGGATATGGACCTTTATTATGAGAAATCACATAGGAAGTGGGTAGATTCAACTTTTTTCGTTTAATTTCAAGATGCGGATTAATGGATCGCTAGATACCGCTACTGAATTAGCACTAGTTGATCAATATACAAATCTTGCACATTTATTCTTTATGAGAGGTGGTTCTAAGTCTACGAATGACACGGAGAAGGAAAAGACACCCGATGGTAATATGACGTCGTTCAACGATGCTTCTTTATGTGTCACACCAGCCTTACATGTTTCGGCCTCTCTCTTATCTTCATTGCGTGCTCCAATCTTTTGGCGCTTCTTTACGAGCTGCCGCAAATTTCGATATTTAACATCAGGTGTAGGTGTCGTTTCTTCGGGTATCTTTTCCTTCTCCGTGTCATTCGTAGACTTAGAACCACCTCTCATAAAGAATAAATGTGCAAGATTTGTATATTGATCAACTAGTGCTAATTCAGTAGCGGTATCTAGCGATCCATTAATCCGCATCTTGAAATTAAACGAAAAAAGTTGAATCTACCCCACTTCCTATGTGATTTCTCATAATAAAGGTCCATATCCCCATAAAACAACCCGAGTATTTTTGTAACAATGTCGTAGAAGTGCGATCCAAACAACATGTCGTCGTAGAAGTGCGATCCAAACAACATGTCGACCAGACATATGTTTCGATGGCGAAGGTGCCTGACAACCGTATTCTCCATTTTGGTTCTTCTGATTTTTGAGAAAAAAAAAAAGGCAATGTTTTATTGTTCGTAATGGACTACCATATGGACCAGAAAATCGGAAAGGCTTTACGAACATGAGAACACAGCAGGTATAAAAAAGATGCAAGAATTGTCATAACCACAAAAATTAAGGCGATGATTATTGTAGTAATTGTCTCACCAAACCAAAACCCAGAGTAACCCCCAAAAAACTGAGATACGAAGTAAATAAATTTCACATATCAGATTGGTGGTGCCACAAACTTCGATTTGAAGAATTTAGATCTGCGAAACCCAAAAGAAATAAGAACGCCAAAGAACCATACATACATGCTTAATTAATCAAGAAGACAAAAGAAATAAGAAATATTAAGATGTAAACAACAAAATTTAAATGGAATAGAATCATTCGACATGCAAATAGCCAAGTAGATCTACCAAAAATCATAGCAAAAAAACCCTAAACACAAAATTTTAACACGAAATCAAAAAGTTATCTCATAAAAGCAAAATATATATGAAATATAAAGTACCTTCAAGGTTCATTTATAAAAATTGCAAGAATTTAAACTTCACTGGTTGAAAAATCTCGCTGAAAACTTCAATAATTGAAAGAGAGCGAGCTGCATCAATGGAGTGCAGAAGGAATTGCGAAAACGAGAGGGAGATGCAAAAACGGAGAGGGAAAGCTGGGAGGAAGAGCAGGAGATGCGAAAATGGGAGGGAATTGAAAGAGAAAACTTTGAAGCTTTTACAATGGACGAGAAAGAGCTCAAGAGTCGTTTCAGTGGAAGAGTTAGACGAAGACAGAGAGGGAGTTAAGACATAAAGATGATGAAACAAAGTTAGGGTTCTACAATGAAAGAAACTCCTAGAGCGTGGAAGAGTATTAAGAGATATCAAAATCTGAAAATTCAAATTTTTTAGATGAAATTTTTATTAGCATATAGAAATATTAACACATTGTGGGGATTACTGCAAGATCTAAAGAGGGAAAATCAAAAATAGCACAAAGATCTTCTCGCAGGGGCTAATTTTATCATTGCCTAGTTTAAAACAATGAGTGTTAGGGTCCCAATATTTTATGGCAATATGAAGAAAATCACTATCAAGATCTACCCCTTTAATGCTTAATAAACCACCCATGTTGAGAAAATCAAGCTATTTCCTCTCACTAATGGTCAAAGACCGACACCACTCACGGGTGATCTCACATAAACTTCTAGACATGATTACTAAACTATGAAAACTAGAAAGACTAATGACTCGAATTATGCAGAATATAGCGTTTTCGGGGGCTTTTTATAAGCAAAATTGAAGCAGAAATTGAATTTTATTCGGACTGAAATTTCCCAGATTTATCACGCCGCGGCAAAGTCATAGCGCCGCGACAAGCCTATCGCGTCGCGATAAAACCTGACGTTCGCGACAACTAACGCACCTTGATTAATCCATTGATTTGATTTTGACTCGGATTTGTACTTTGATTCTTTCTGCATTTCATCCAATTTTTCTCACTTTTTCTACATATAAGTCACCTTTACCTATTATGGCCCAACATTTTGAGTTAATCCTTATTGATTTGGAAATATCTTTTATGAAACTCGAGTTAGTTAATTCTAAAACTATTTTTTGCCTTATTTCTTTTTTTCATTTTTTCTTTTGGGGGAGAAAGTCAGAAACTATCCAATGATAATAAAAATGATGAAATTTTTGCGCAAAATTTATCACAAATTCACACACGCACATGCACATAAATAGTTGTAAAAAATTAAAAAAAAAAGACTAAATAGATAAAGTCTAGTGTATACATAAGTCTAGTACGTAAATAAAAGTCAATAAAATGTACAATACATAAGTAAAGTCCAAAATAGTCCAAGACAAGGAAATGCAGAACAGCTATGGCGCTGGAGGACGCAGATCTCGAGGAATTCCCATCGTGTCATAAAAAATTGCAGACCGTGGGGTCAACCCCTGACCAGAATCAGCATCACTGGTCGTGGGGATCATGATCGTAGGACCGGTCCACTTATTACCCCATTGAGGTTCGTACTGCTGAAAACTCCCACCAGCAAAAGGGGTAGACACAGGCTACTGCGATGGCGAGCCAACCTCATACGTCCAACTGCTGAACTAAGATGACGAACCAGCTGCAAACGCGTCTGGGACCACATGAGGTTGTAGCACCAAAGTGCCAAATCCAGATGGAATCATATTTGACGACGAAAAAATTATCACAATCATTAGCTGCCGCTTGGCCAGACACCTCCCGCCTGCCTAGGATCTCCATCAAGGTAAGCCGACGCCTCACTCCACCTCTCTCAAGCCCTTTGGCCTCGGACGAGTACGTGGCCGAGGACCAGGCTGAAACAAAACTAAAGAGATACAAGTCAGTTATCGACAGAACGAAAAACAAATAAAAAGAAAAATGCATAACGACATACCGGCGCAACATCCCCCGCATGTCGACACGACGCTCCGTGACTCAACCTCACCAGCTGTTAACATGATATATGCGAACAAAAGAGGAAACAAAAACTCAGCTAGTTTTGAGAACGAGGTATAGACCACTCCACCAATCGCCATTCCTCAGGGGCTAGGGGCTGGAGGGATCATCTCCTCGATAGGACCATGAACCCCTGATACTGAATAAACATGCGCGGGGGCTCGAACTCCTCAAGCTTGTCTGACTCCTATAAAAACAAACCAACGATTAAACGCTGTTGGGGCTAAAGAAAGATGAAATGACTTGTAAAAAATTCACAAAACTTCTCCTCACGGTAAGGTGCGCTAGGTAGACGAGGAAGTAGCGCCTCTACATAAGAACGGTCGGAGTAGATATGTCTCCGCCAGTCCTCGCCTATAACGCCATCGGCGGCCTGCACCCGGTGTTGGGTTTCGTAGTGTCAAACACTACGCGGAATAAAACCCTCCAAAAATCTGCACACAAATTAAAGTAACTAAACATGCATATTAGTCAACAATCACATATTTAATTAACAAGGAGAGAGAGAAAAACGATCATACCCTTGATGCGTGCTTCGCTCCTTTTAAACCTCGAACTTGAAAGCGCAGAGCTTCGCAAATGTGCAAGCCTCCTATGGCTCTCACCCTTGAGACCCGACCCGAACAACCCTTACCCCGAAGCTTAGTTAGGGATAGATAAAAGACCTTATAGTATTAGAACGAAAGTGTTCTCGATTTTGGAGATCCTTTCAACTCAAGCTTAGTTGGGTGTGACCCGAAGGGTTCAGTCAAGATTAAGTTGTAATATTAATTAGGCATTAATATTACTGATCAGAAGCGGCCTCCAGCTAGGCATTCCGATCACTTGACCTCAATAATTAGCTTTCGAATAATTTCGAACCCTCTATCGGAATAATACACTTGTTTGAAGAATACCATTCCTTTCAATCTCCAAGTTGCTATTAGTGTATAGCATATTTCCTATATCACTTAATGTCTCTTCATGAACTATAAGGTAAGATTCTTCGTCATCCTTATTACGTCTAGAAGTGTTTCTCGATTTTCGAGTTTGACTGTCAACAAGCAGATGATTTCTAAGATCCATTTGACCACGACCATGCATTTTTCATAGTCTCGCTCTTCGAAGGCCTTGTAAACAACAAAGACATGTTCCCTATTGTTAATAGGGGGATATTCCCAGTCTTACATGGTTAGGTTCTCTTACTAAAAGGACCTAGTCGCACAAGTGTTGCCGTTATAATCCCCATTTACGGACGTTTGACAACACCAAAACGGACTAGTACTCAAACAAGAGAACTTACACTAATCATGGTCGAGGAAAGAGGTTTCTGATAGCTATAATGAGTGATATACTTATGACGATTGTCAAATCTCTTAAAGTATTCTCATAGGTCGATCCGGTATAGTTCCAAATTAATACCTGTGCAAATGATTTATGGCAATGATGTCCTTGAAGCACAAGAAATGGTGTTATACCTCATACTAATCACAAATCTCACGCGGTCATTAGTCGTCCAACCTTCTAATGACCTCGATTAGGGATGATTTTATATGATATTCAACGTTCACTTAATTGGTGTTTCGTTATCCAAGACATGGCCTTGATACCCTATTTTGAATGTTCAAATCGAATGGACTCATTATTTAATTCTAAACCACAATTAAATAGAAATGGAATAATTATCACAGAAAAATTAAATTACTCCATAAAATGAATGGTTTTAACTTGGTGTTTTACATTAATATCTCCACAACTTAATTAAAACACACAAATAAGGAACTCAAATCCAATCTCCAATGTGCTTGTTGTGTTTCACTTGAGGCAAAGGTTTAGTGAGTGGATCGGCTACATTGTCATCCGTTCCAATCTTGCAAATTCTGATTTCACCCTTGGAATTCCATTCCCTTATCATGTGAAATCTCCTCATGACATGTTTGACTTTCTAATGCTCCCTTGGCTCCCTGACCTGAGCAATAGCCCCACTATTATCATAGTAGAAGTCTATTGGTCCGTTTATTGAGGGGACAACACCAAGTTCACCAACGATATTACGAATCCAAACTTCCCTCTTAGCTGCTTCTGAAGCTGCCAAGTATTTGACTTCAGTTGTTAGGTCTGCAGTTGTGCTTTGCTTAGCACTCTTCCAACTAAACGCTCCTCCATTGAGACAGAACATGTATCCTGATTGTGACTTGAAGTCGTCTCTATCAGTCTGGAAGCTTGCGTCGGTATAACCTTCAACAGCCAAATCATTACTCCCACCATAGACCAGAAATTTATCCTTGTTCCTTTTCAGGTACTTTAGGATATTCTTGGCCGCAGTCCAATGCGCCTCTCCTGGGTCTGATTAGTATCGGCTTATAGCACTTATGGAATACGATACATCTGGCCTAGTACATATCACGTCATACATGATTGATCCAATAAGCGAAGCATATGGAACTAGACTCATCCTCTCTCGCTCATCACGTGCCTTTGGACACTGTTTCTTGCTGAGAGTTATGCCATGTGACATGGGTAGGTGGCCTCTCTTGGCTTCCCCCATGTTCAATGGTGCTAGTACCTTATCAATATAAGTACTTTGGATCAATCCAATCACCCTTTTAGATCTACCCCAATAGATCTTGATGTCCAATATGTACTGTGCCTCTCCCAAGTCCTTCATTGAAAAATACTTTCCAAGCCAAGTCTTTACAGACTCCAATATTGGAATGTTGTTTCCAATGAGAAATATGCCATCGACATATAAGACAAGGAATGTGATGTCACTCCCACTGACCTTCTTGTAAACACAAGACTCATCTGGATTCTTGATAAAACCAAACTTACTATGGCTTCATCGAATCGCATATTCCAACTTCTACTTCCCTACTTTAATCCATAAATGGATTTCTTAAGCTTGCATACCTTCCCAGCATTATTTGGATCAACAAAACCTTCCGGCTGTGTCATGTACACAATATCTTCCTAAATCCCATTAAGGAAGGCGATTTTGACGTCCATTTACCATATCTCATAATCATAATATCCAACAATTGCTAGGATTATCCGAACAGACTTAAGCATGTGACAGGCAAAAGTCGTAACACCTAATCAAAAGTAATTTCTAAAATCACTAACTAAAATAGATAGGGAAGTAGGGTCGAATCCACAAGGAAACAATGTTCTTTTATTCCTAATAAATTATTATAATCTAAATTATCACGAAACAAGTAAGAATTGTGAGAGTTATACTAAAGGCTATAATTAAACTAAGGGAATAATCATTAATAAAAAGCCGAGGGTCATAGGTTCACCAATAATTAATATTCTGGGATAAAACATAACAACCAATTATCAATGCATAAATTAACCAGATTATAAAGGGCTTTCACTATGCATTATAATCATAGAATTTATCTATCGGTATTATATCGCATCTCTCAAATCTTGACTTATCATTTATAAATTAATCTGCCTATTGAAACTAAGCCCAAATATCAATTCTCATATGTCGAATCTCAAATCAATATTGCATAACTTATATAATTAAACCTATAAAAATTAATAGGAAATTAACCCAAAACACACTAGTAGAAAAAATGAAGTAGGCACCCCCCCTTTAGCACCGATTCTTGAAAACCGGTGCCAACAGAATGGGTGGGATTGAAAAAAATCAGTTTTGGCACCGATTCCAACCAAACCGGTGCCAAATCATGTAGTTAGCACCGGTTCAAACCGGTGCCAATTTATTAAAAAAATAAAAAAAAAGTTAGGAATTGATTTGGCACCGGTTCGCCTTAAACCGGTGCCAACTATGGTAATTAGCACCGGTTCAAACCGGTGCCATTTTTTAAAAAAACCCGGCCAACACTCAACCTCAACGTCTTTCTTCGTTTCTTTCATGCTTTTCATTTCCCTCGTTTTTTCCCTCTTCTCTTAGCTTCCACCATCTCCTAGCTAGGTTTCCATTACTCCATTGAAGTGGTGTCCGAGCTTTCTCACTTCCATTGAAGCAGTTGCCGCACCACCTTCTCACTCCGTAGCGTATCTCTCATCCATTTGGGTGTCGCGTGTCCTTTTCATTCACCATTGACGTGGAGACTGAGCGTTCCAGCTCCATTGAAGCAGCTTCGAGGTAAGCACCATTCGCAAACTACCGAACTCCTTCGCAATTTAGTGTTTTTCGTAGATTTGATTTTTAGTTTAGTAATTATAATGGTTCTTGTAATTTAGGTTTTGTCATTGACTTGTGGGTTGTGAGGGAGCAGGGATGTTTGGGTTAATTTGGTGGTTGGGCTGTGGTGGTATTTGGTGGATGAAATAGGGATTGTTGCTGTGGAAGATTGTCGCTGTGGTGGTTGATTTGAGGTTGGGCTGTGGTGGTTAAGCAGCTTTAAGCCATCACCGTTCTTCATTTTAGAAGAAGTTGATGCTGCTCTAGATAATTTTTGTTTGCCAAGGTTGCTGGATTCATCCGGTGAAAATCATGTGGAGGTGGTCGACTTGACCAGGATGCTGATGGGGGCTGTGATTTCCAAAGTATTGTGATATCACTCAAGGACTGCATCTGCAATTGCCAATGTGTGTGCTCAATGTATTAATGTTTGATTCTTGTTCATATGTATTTGAATGAACGTTAATGTACCAAACAAACCATGAAATACTTACTAACTTTTGTTTTTTTGTTTTGTTTATTCTATTTGTTTTTGTATAGATTCATATGTGAATTGAAGCACAAGTTTATAATCTTGAAGACTTCACATTAGCTCAAGTGCGAAGTTAGAAACAATACATCCATTGTACTTGCTATATTGGTATGAATTATACACTTTACTAATAAGCTATATTTCTTTCTCTTTATTGTTTTAATAAAAGTTTTTTCATGCTATTACGACTTGTGTATTATTTAATGACAAATAAATACAACAATATATGAAATGCTTGCATCATCATATGCCTAGATACCCGTTCAAGGCTTTCTCATTAGGAGAAAGTCTTGAATAGTCTTCGGTTGGGACTGTTCTTGAATGTTTACTCTCACTTAGGTGGTGAATGTATGTCTTTTTTTTCGATTTTAAGGAACATCTTGGCTTACCATTTCCTCACCAGGTTCTCTAGGTACATATGTGGGTAAGTTATTACCTACATCGTGTACTTGGAGAACTAGGGGGAAATGCTGTCGGATTTTCCTTATAATTGGAAGTCGACATACATTCACTAATGAGATTACACGTTCAAGGATGGGTTAGGTTGGAGTGATAAGGACCCTTTGGAAGCATATATTCATTTTTGTATCTATATGAATGTTATATGCATGGTGTGTGTTTGAATTTGATTTACATATATAATAAATGTAGCAATTATACAGTATTCGTAATATCTTGCCATGTTTAGAGACAATTTACTTAATGGAGAAGGATCGTGGCTGGATGTATGGTAGACGTGATACATTGGAATTCTTTGATGGGGTTCAAGAGTTTTGCGAGAGGGCTTCATCCTTGTGTTGATTGTATGGTGTGTGTTTGAATTTGATTTACATATATAATAAATGTAGCAATTATACAGTATTCGTAATATCTTGCCATGTTTAGAGACAATTTACTTAATGGAGAAGGATCGTGGCTGGATGTATGGTAGACGTGATACAGTGGAATTCTTTGATGGGGTTCAAGAGTTTTGCGAGAGGGCTTCATCCTTGTGTTGATTGTAATAATGTGAAGGTGGTCACACTAGTAGAAAAAATGAATAAGGCACCGCAGCTTTCACACCGGTTTTTGAAAACCGGTGTTAAAAGAAATTGGCGGGATTGAGGGAAAGAGTTTTCGCACCGGTTAACCGGTGCGAAAAGTGAGTTAATCGCACCGGTTCTTACAAAACCGGTGCGAAAACTTTTGTTAAATTAAAAAAAAACCCGGTTATAATTTAATTTTCTTTCTCTCTGGAAACCCCTCGATCTTTCCTCCTCTCTCATTCTCTCTCCTCCATTGAAGCGTACTCATCTGCCTCTCTCTCCTTTCCTTTCTTCTCCTTTTCTATCGGCTATGCACCCTTCCCCGGTTTCATTGTGGATCTCTTCAGTTGTGCTCCATCAATCAAGGTTTTCCTCTTTCTTCTTTTTCAGTTGTATTCGATCTTAGGGTTTTGTTTGTTTTTAAACTTGAGGTGTTTTTTAGGGTTTTGTTTGGCGGTGGTGGCTATGGTGGCCTTATTCGACCTAAAATCGTTGGCTTCATCTTCTTTTGTCAAAAACTCTTCATGGTGGGTTCGGCTATTGCGTAATTGCGAATACTCTTCCTTTTTTCAGGGTTTGTAATGAAATCATTGGTTTTGTTTGTGTTTTTTTGATGAAATTATCTTATGGGTTGTTATGTTTTGATGTTTTTTTTATGGGTATCTTCTTTTTTCCTGTTTTTTCTCCTTAATCTGATTATGGTTTGATTAATATGATTGTTGGACCTTAAATTTTTGGTTTGTAATGTTTTGCTTTGATTTCATCTTATAGTGTTAAGAAATCCTGCAAATTTCGGAAGAAAATTTGTAATTTCATGAATATCATCAACATTAGCATAAGTTTGAATTCAATAGAGTTTCGATCTTGGTATTAAAATGCCTTAATTTCTGTTGCAAGAATCTAATTGGGTATGTTTGGAGATTGGGGGTTCTTGTGCTCTGCATTGGATTTTTTTTTAGTAATTAATTTGAGTAGGAATTTTATTTTTAATAATGGAGTGTTGGTTTTTGGAATCAGGACCCAATTTCCTTGTTTGATAGCGTTTTGAAACTAAAAGGCTGCAGCAACCTATTATACCTTGATTAGGGTTTTGAATTTTTTTATGTTTGTATTAAGTGGTCTAAATTTGCTCATGTATTGGTTTTTGGCTTAATTTTGGTGAGTAATTGTTGAACTTTGTAACAAGGGGAAGTTAGTGGCTTAGGTTTTCAAAAGCATGTTGTAAATGAACGAAGTGAGAATACGACTGCTAGGTTAAAATTCTGTTCTATGGCTGAAGTTTATGATTATTATAAAACGTTTTGGACAGAAAGACGAGAACTTAGTTTAAATTTTAAGAAGTTTTTCAATTCTTATTGGAAATTTACTACCCTTTCTGCTCAACTTTTCTTTCCTATATCGAGATAGTTAAATGATTTATGGTGGCAAGGGCAAGGATATGGGGCACTCAGGAAGTCTGTACTATTTAGTTTGAGTACTTGTAGAGGCTACTTTAGTATTTGTCTACACTTAATGGGGTCTAGAACTTGTTTTTAGCTGCTTGCTATGTTGTTAGTGGGGTAGCATTGGGGTCTTAATCCTAGTAGCAAGCACTGATTACATTTTATAGTTTGACTTATTTCCTCATACTTCATCGATATACATGGTTTAGGAAGATCTGGATTAGATGTCCACCAAAAGACTTTAATATTAATCTCTACATAATCTTAAACAAGGAAAGCTTATGACATTACTAATGAAATCTCAGACATGGTAGCTTAAGTTGATTAGTGGAGGTTCTTATATTAATTTGGCTTACCATTATGTTCAAATAGAATTATGCATTTTGTTTTCTGATTTACAAATCCAAAGGAGCCTTACATTTCACCCCAGATAGTCCTATTTTCTGTATGTGCTGATGATGATACTGTATAAAAATTTCAAAAAAAGTGTATGTTCTAATAGGAGAAATAAGGTCTTTAAGCCTAATTAAGTACACTCATTTATATGTGCCAAGTATAATGACTGTTAATTAGAGTATAAATTTTGAGTTTAATTATCGAACTTATATGCGGAAACCTCACTCAAAATCTGAGGTGGACGGTAAAATCAAGGGAACTAAAGGAGAAAAGGTAAAAAAAAAATCAACTTTGCCGCAAGAAAAAGTAAGCACTGATGCAAATGGAGAGAAAAATAAGAAGACACGGAAGCGAAAGCAGGCAAATGGCCTCCGATTTGAAGCAGAGATGGAAAAGTTGGATGGTGTTTCAACAAGAAAGCAGTAGAGGAAGAAAGAGTAAGTGTGTGTGTGTGTATTTTTATTTTATTTTTATTTTTTTTATTTTTTATGTTGGTTCTTGTTTGTTTATTTGTTTTTGTACTCAAACAGAGTTGGATTGTTGTATTTGTCATTGCGAGTGGTCGAGTCAGAGGAAACAATCTAGGCTCATTTTGTGTCTGAAAAACAAATTTATGATGTGGCTCGGTCCAAACTTTAACTTCAAGCAGCAAATTTTCTTGATTTGATGTGGGTATTATTAGACCATTATTAGTCATTAACTTTGATTGAAAGGGCAGGGAGCATTGGCTTGTATGTCTGCATTGTTGAAGTTGTACTATAATAACTCATATATTAGTGCCATAAATATGTGATGAATTGTCTATATATGTTTGAAACTAGGTTGGTTTTTATGACTTGGGAAAAACCTAACTAAGTTTCTTAGACTAAAACTTGGATTCGAGTATGTTGATTGTGATGACTTAAAGCTCAAAACTATAGAAGAAAATTGGATTTCAGGTTTAAAAGATTTCTTTGATTATTTGATGATATCTGTGTCAATTATCTTTACTGTGATGTAGTGTAACTTTTTTGGTAAGTTTAAACTTGATGCCTCATAAGGCTTAATCTATGATTTGGGTTGTGTTGTTTCAAATTAAGCTTTCTTTTCAGGTTTGATCATCTTTCCTAAATGGCATCAGCAGCCTCTATAGCCTTTATGTCATATTCTGATTGCTGCCAGGGTATCCAGCTACAAAAGGACAGATTTCCAATTGCATATATACCTCAGGGAGCATCGCTACTGCCAGCCTTGTCTTTCCTATCTCTACACCATCGAAATCACCAGCGAAATCATATAGGGCTTCTCAGAGCTACACGACGCCCTCCGGTAGTCTGTGCACGCCACCCCAAGAGTAAATACTTACCCCAAGGTCAAAGTTAGCCATCAATCAATCAATTATCAAGTTAGCCATTGCTGTAATTTTATCTTTGAAAGTGTAATTTTTAGAGTTAATGCTGTCAATAAAACATACGTTGTATTTAGCACATTAATGGTTAGAATTACCAACTTGGACTAAAATTAGGCAGCTGATGAGGACTAAGGATATTTATCTGATGGTTAGAATATTAGATTGGGCTTGCAGTACTATAGTGGGATTATCTGAGCTAAGTGCAATATTGGAAACGATGAATTGTTGTTCATTAGGGACCTGCTGCAAAATAAAATCTGGTCACGGTATATTTATATTTATCACACCCTTAATTCAAAGGAATTTAAGCTATGAGCTGTAAGGTCTTAGTGTCGTCTGTGCTTCTGGCTATGCCTGTGTTTGGAGTCTTTGGACCTTGGAAGAACCAGGAAACGTGTTGTAGTCTTATATCAAGATACGTGAATCTTAGTTCTTAGGTGCCTCTTAGACAGGAGCCCTGGGCAACAATTGTTTGTTCTTGAGCAGTTCGGCTCTGGGCATGCTATCAGCCTTCATTAGCCGGCCATCTTCAACTACAAACATAGGATTTTACAACTTTATTATTGGCTTAATCACCTAGGCTAGTTTCTCTAATTTCCTATCAGAGTTTTTGGTTTAAAGTCAGGGAAACCAATAGACTGTTTACTGATGTTATTTCATATCGTGCAGATTGTGACAACATTTGGATTCCCATACAGTAAAATGTTCATATTGTGCAGATTGTGACAGTAAAGGTTTATCCCTAATCAACAAGTCTTGGATGCTGTAAATTTAAAAGGACTCCTCCTTACCATGCTCTCAGGCTTTGTTAGACAAAATCAATGCAGTATGCTACATTAGAATGGACAGAAAACTAAACAAAGCTATGCTATATTTTTTTAGTTTTTTAAAGTGTAATATTACAAGTTATTGAAGAAAATATATGTGTTTTATGTATATTATGATTATATATAAGTATTTGGTACAATTTAAGTGGAAAAAATGCAAAAAAAAAAAAAAAATTATTTTTTTAGGCAATTTTAGCATCGATTTTGGAAAAGAACCGGTGCTAAAAAAAATTTAAATTTTTTTTGGAAGCCAAACACAATCCTTCAGAATATTTGATGCGTGAATTTGGAGCCAAGCCACTAATACGGTCAACTCCAAGGAGATTGAGCCCATTCAATTACCACGCTTCGCAAGTCTTCGACTTGGGCTTATGGAGTTCTCTAACCCAAACTTCTTTATTTGTTTGGTCCGTAACAATAACTTATGATATCTTGGACATCTTCACATATCGAGCACTTAATCACCAAACTAAATTTCATTAACTCGGTCTTGGGTTTTAAAAATATGGTCATAAAATACAATCAAACTCCAATATCTTCGTAGCAGCACAATAAGCTCGGGAATTATCATAATTTTGCAAATTCCTACAAAATAATACCAACTCTACAAAAACACTAGAAAACATATATTAGTATTAAAAATAGCTCCGCATAGCTCAAATAAGCACAAATATGATTGTGGGACGGGGAATAAAAAATATATATAAAATAGACTTATCAAAAAGCCTAGGGCTTCTTCTGAGTGGATGTGACGAAACCTAAGTGTAGAGATCACCAAGTTTTCACAAGGTCCATCCAGTGACACATAAGGTGGGGAGTGTGGAGAAATTTCTTCTTAAAGCCTTACTAGTCTCTTACTGGGAATATCAGGAAAGGAGGATGTGTTTTGGGTTGTTGCTGGACTTTTTCTAATAGGAAGTTTCTGTCTTGGTGGGTTAGATGGGTCTGCACCCAATAATGTGTTGGAAATTAGTGGGAGGTGGTTGTGGGCCACACTCAATTATGGGCATGAATCATTTGTCGGTCAGACTCATTGTTGGGTGCAACATGTATAGTTTGGGTAGAAGTGAGATTTTATTATGGGGCAGGATTTGGATTTTGTGATTTCCTCACAGTTTGGGCAAGATTCCAAATGAAAGCAGGCTTACCCAAGCAATTAACCCACACATTAATTTCTTTCAGTGTAATAATCTCATACATCTTCATCAAAGTCCCATCATCTACCAAAGATATACTATTTCCATTAAAACAATAGTGTAACCTAGGGTATGTTGGCAACTCTAATTGTCTTTTTTGAAACTCCTCACACATCTCATTAAGCACATCAATTAACAAACATTAATCTATATCATCAATCTTTACACGAACACAATTAGCACGATAATGGAGTTTAAGAATTCTCTCATCCATCTACAACATGCAAACATCCTTAACACACTACTAATTACACCAATTACGAACTACAACAACATTAGTACAAATACAACACATATATACATTCAAAAATTACGAATTTCAACTACATTCAAGAAGTTTATGCATTGTAACCATTCATTTAATCACATCTCAAACTAATATCAGCAATTTATAACATGTAAACCCTAAATTTATCATCTTTTTCCGTAATTCGACATTAAAAAAGGGTGGAATTTAGAGATTCAGTGAGTTACCTTCGCCAAATCTTTTCTTGTAAATGTCAACACAATCTTTAGCTCGTTGATCTCTAACATTATGGTTGTCGCTCTGCAGATTTTCGAACCAAGTATTTCGCTTTTTCGCAAATTTAAAGGGTTTAGGGTTTTTTTTTATCAAAGAGAGATGAGGTCATGAATGAAAGAATGAAATAGAGAGTTTCAGTGAGAGGGAATTAAATGAAAAGAGAGGGAAGGTACAAGAGTTAGGTGACAGCATTAACTATCTCTGACGTTCGTCATTTATGGTCACTAAGTAAGGTTACATCGTACACACTAAAGGTATCTTAGGGACTTGGGGTTACAACGTGAAATTTTGATAATGGGTAGACATAACTTGAAAAAATGAATACCTTAGGGTACTGTATGAAAAAATATATGTGAATTGCTATTCGTCACTCCCAATTTACAAGGTGACGCTCCCATTTTAATGTGAAGATACCGTTTTGCCTTTGTGTTAATTTGGCCTATATAAGCCTCCACCACTTTGTCACATAGTTTACCGAGCGGTTTAATAATATTTCCGAGCACTTTGACCCACCACTTGCCTTAAAATAATCCCGACCCCGAAATTTCCCGAGCCCACCACCCAAATTATTAACTTTATTAAAAAGAAGGTTTAGCGATGGGTTTTGGACAATGAACGACGACAACGATCGTACACCGGAGGCATCGTCGGAAGAATCTGTAAGTCGAAGAATTTTTTTTAATGAAAAGGGGACATCCACCCAAAAAATCCGGATGATCCATGGTAGGCGGATCCACCATGGAAGATCCAAAAATTCCAAGAATTTCCGGATATTCCATGGAGAATCCAGAAATATTAGGCAGATCCTCCATGGAGGATCCGGATTTTTTGGGCGGATGTCCCTTTTTCATTTAATTTTTTTTGTATGTTATTGATATTATTATTATTATTATTTATTATTATTATTATCATTATTATTATTATTATTATCTCAAAAACAGACAAAGTCATACAATCTACAATAAATTAGTGGGAAGCCGAGACACAATCTGGGCCCCCACTCCTCTAGCTATAGCAAAGCCTACCCTAGTGAAGATATAAGCTGTAGCACGAACCCCAATGTCTTGCGTCGCCGAGAACCTCTGAACCCGCTCAGCAACGCAACAGCCTCCTTCTCTAATTCCCCAAGCGAAGAAAAAGAGAAGGGAATGAAACCATATCCAATCAGCCGATAACTAGCTTCATACTTCACCCACTTCCGAAGAGCCGCATCAGCCACAACCCGCCCAGGTACAAAGTCAGATAGCCCTGTCTGTGTCAAAGGAGAAGACCCTGTTAAGTCCACACAAACATCGCGACCACGATCCCAGGAATAAAGTAGCACATCAACAGGTCTGAGGGCCCCGCCATTCCCTCCAGACAACCCTATATCAACCTCCTTTCTTGCTGAAATCCCAGATTTGTAGCAGATATCAACAAGGGTATCCCGGATAACATTATGCCAATGTTTAATGCCCACAATACCAGCACACGACACCGCGTGATCACCGAAAATATCTTCGGAAAAATCCAAGAATAGAGCACAGCGTCGAGATAGAAAACAATGGAATACCCATCCTGTAGCACAACACACATCGGTAGGTCTTTGGGTTCATCGTCTGACCCAAACCAGAAATAGGGACTGCCCGAAGCCAAGCAGAGGTGTGATCTCCCTGCTACGATTTCCACAATGCTGATTGCCGAGGAGACAAAGAATAGGCGAATTCTACAGAAGCGATAACCTTTATGAAATATACATCTGCCAATTTCTTCATGAGTTTTGGGGCAGCGACCTCACTAAGGTTACTCATAATGTTAGACTCCACTATTCCATTAAACAGACTCAACGCATCTCCAAAGGCACGTCCAAGACCAACAATACCAGCATGCCATAAAAGCTTTGTCTGCAACCCAGCAGACTGTAACCGAGAAGCAAGAAAAGCATAATGACGAACATCACCTGCGTAATATACCCCAAGCCCTCCAAACGCAAATGGTAGGGTGGCAATTCGCCATTGCCAATCACCAAACCCAGGCCCCGAAGCAGTAACAATACGCTCTAAGGAAGATCGAAGAGCCCCGTCGAATGTGCGCTGAGCCGTCTCGAAAGTACTAGGAGGACAGGTACACAATGCAAAGTAGAGTCTAGAAACACCGGTACATGCCTGAAGTAACAATAGCTCACATTGAGGATCATCAAGCACAACAACCTTATCCATAAGCGCAATGGTCTTGGTCACCCTCTGCATCACAAGCTCTCCACCAAAACCGGAATTGGAACTAGCAGGACCACTAAGCAACTTAACACCACGCAAAGGTCGAGCAATATTGGGTGGAAAAACACCAACAAGCTTGCTTCGAGGGTCTTCTGTAGGCCAGAAAACTTCTGTTTTTTCCACATTAAGATGTAGCCCAAAACGAGGTCCTTCCTCCATAATCAACTGCAGCACCTTCCCCACCACCAAAGTGTCACCAATAATAGTGCCGTCATCCAAATACCACGCATGAAGACATAATTCAAAAGCATCTCTAATTTTACAAATCAAGGGTTGTAAAACTAAAGCAAAAAGTAGAGGACCAAGGGGATCACCTTGCTGCACTCCTTGACACAACCATAAGGATTGGTCCCCATAATACAATCTGGTTGGATTAGAATAACAGAATTCAACCCATCGCGAAATACCCGGACAACGACGACGAACTTCACGTAACATGACCGTACGATCAACAAAATTGAAGGCATTTTGAAAATC